GCGATTATTCAGCAAATCGTTATTGCCAGCGACTTTGCATTTGCATTTATGCAACTTTACCCATGAAACGGTGAATTCAAAGACAGTTTATTGCGCTATTTCAACTGTTGGTAGTGTTGTTGCTGCTGTTGTGTTGCTAATCGTTAATGCCACTCAGCGCACATTGTAATGCCAACGCTGTTTTTGCTGTTTCTTTTTGTGTATTGGTGTTTTTGCATGCCTCTATCCTCTGAAAAAAGTTATTTGTATTCAAAGATATGCCACACCGAATATGGTCAAGAATGGCAACCCATTTTGGGTGCATAAATGCGATTGTGATGCACAACCGGCGACTTATGCAATGTTGGGGCAAAAACAATAGCAACAAATAATAGTGGTATAAATTTAAGAATCTGTAGGAGAGCAGCTAGAAATGTGTGTTAGTGTAGAATGGCTTCAACGTGTGTTCTGCGACTTGTGAAAAAAACTGGGGAAAGCAGCGCGAACAGCTGCTGCAGCGTTGTTGGATGTCAGGGTCTCGGTGGTATGGCCAATACTCATTATGTTAATGTCACCTTAGCCAAACAAACTGCTTTACAACTGCTTTTCTAATCAGTGCCACACAAGAATTAATTTATAAATTCCGGAGAGGTTATGATGTTAGAGAAAGGGAGAGGGACTGAATGAGCGATAAATGAGAACTTTTTCAACATTGGTCTGTTTGGAAATTTTTCTTGTTTAATATTATATAAATACAAACCTCAGAAAAAAAGTAAATACGCATAAAATGTCATTTTCTTAGCTTACGAAAGTTAAAAAACTATTGCCCACAATTATGGGTTTTGTTAAATTTTTTTTAGGAGTTCATTAAAAAACTATACTCAACAAAATTACTTTTATAACTTTTTATGTTTTTCGAATTTTCATTAAATATTTATAATAACTTTCAATGTAGTTCTATCATATCATTCCCTCATGGAAATTAAATTAAAACAGCCTAGTTGTAGGCAACGATCTGTTACAGGTATGTACATATATAACTGAAATTCACTAAAATGAATTAAAGGGTGTGATGCTATGTAACATAACTGGTTTAATTCAGAGTGTTTCCAAGTAATCAATAATTTGACGCAAAACCAAATGTTTCATAATTTTAGAAAAGCTTCTTCCTAATAAATTATAGTATTTTACCCAAGACGCGTACTTAATCCAGCAAAAGTAGATATATCATATATACTTACATAGTTAAAATAGTGTATTTGAAAAAAGCGATTTTTAGGAAACAAAACAAAAAATAACATATTAATTATTTAAAAATTTTAAGAGTATTATTGTTTTTTTTTAGAGGTGTGAATAATCTATCGAAATATGTAAAAAAACAATCGGTAATAGTAGATAACTAGCCAAACATTAAATTCTCGCTAGGCTTTTGAAAACTGTTCTCAACTAATAAGAAATATATTATACTTTATAGTTATCTGTTCTTCAGTGGTGAGAAAACAAAAAATGCTAGAGCGGCTCTAAACATAACAACTCCGATATTCTCATATTCATAAATTTAAAGTAAGAGCGATAAAGAGTCTGATTTAACATTCTTATATTTCGTTGTTGAAATATTTCGATGTGGAAAGCTATCGCAAAATTAAGTTTTGAACTTTTCGTGAACCTCCTACGTCTTTTGAAATAAGAAAATGTAAAATTTTTTTTATTAACCCAGAAATAACTCTTAAAATGGGCTTAAATTTTTAACTACACAAAATGGTACACAAAAAGCGACTATGTGTCCGATCAATAAATCTGGCAAGTCACAAGAGCTTCGTAAGAATAGGTGTATTTTAATGTCTAATCCTATTTATATATATATATATAAGTGATCCTTAGTGGAGTAGTATCACTTTAGTACTTAAAGAAGTAAGCACCGTTAAACTGATTTTAAACTAGTCTTACAAGAATAGGTTCAGTACTAGTACCTTTTGAATCGTCAGCTAGTTGCTTAAAAAATAAAATTTTAAATATATTCCACTGGTAGACGCACTTCCTATCTTCTTATACACACTCAGACTCAAAGGTATGAATTAAGATCCTGTGCTTCATGAGTTCCTTTCTTTATGAGGGTGTCGCCATAAATCAGAAAGAAAAAGCAATACATCGCCAACCAACTTTAGTTACTCACAAAGCAAAGCACGCAGTCTACCGAAGTTACCACAAATACATTGTTGCTACAGCGCGCATTTACCATGGCAATTACGGTATCTGCAGTAAAATCAAGCGCAAACAGCTGCAATGTTCGAGCAGAATCAGAGGAAGTACGAGGGGTACAAAATAAACAAGAACAACACATACAATGCTAACAACAATTTAAGCCAGCGAAAGATAAGTTAGCGAGAGGCGGTTATTGGAT